CTATTACACTTTAGATATGAGAATTTCTATCCAACTCAAGGACGATGTGAAAACTTGCATACTACGGTGGTTAAAATGTTCTGATACACCATCACACTACTTATCAGTAGTTTATAACAATTGTTGAAATTTTGATGTTACTCACGAAACAATGAATCATATTTGAATGTCGAATTGAATATAACTGATGTTTTCTGGTAAAGCATAATGTATATAGTTTATACTGGAATTTTTCAAGTGAAGTATCTCAGTTGGGACAAAACTTATACATACTGGAAACAAGTCAATGAATACTAGTTAAATGTAGGCGCTTTGCACATACTTAGCAAAGAAACATATCCTTCAGTTACATTTATTTAGCATTGTTTGTTTAAATCTTCCCATAGATGTGTTAGGACTGCAACTGGTCAGTCTCTAATTGGCATATGTGCACACTGTGTGTATTGCCTCAATATAGCCTTAATTCACAAACATTGTAAGCAAAGATGGATAGTGGCTATCAGTGCAATTAAGGCTAAATCAAGGCAATACATACAGTATGCACATGTGACAATTAGAGACTGACCAGTTGCAGTTCTAACACATCGATGGGAATATTCAAACAATGTTAAATGAATTTAAACTTCACCCCATCGCACAAGCAAGTGGCTATCAGGACTCAGTGGCCGAGTGGATAACGCGATGACGTTTGAAGCGAAAGGTAATGGGTTCGAGTCCCAGAGTGAAGATCAAATCTGAGATGCAGGTACATCCATTTGACGAGTCCCAAGTAGGACAAAACGAGCTTCTTGGATTCCACTGCTAGTCACTATTTATCTTTGCTTACAATATCTTTCAGTTGTTCAAATTAAGATTTGAACCTAAGTACCAACTTCGATACTTTGTAAAGTTTGAAGGTAGTTTTCACATTAGACTAATTTCAAGCAAGGAACCTTTCAAAATTCAGGAAGCGCTAGATAACATAATCATTCTGTGTGAGTTTGATTGAGCGTAAATCTATTTTTAATAAAAATAACAACCTTCCTGTTTAAATAGTTATGTAACAAAAATTACTCACTTAAAGTCTGTCATCACACAGAACTTCGTTTTGTTCAATATATCAAAAAATCTACTCAATTAATAAAAGTAAAGTAAAATAATAAACTGAGTATACAAACAGAAAAGAGATATTATGTTCAAAATACAAATAGTTAGGAAATATATTTAGATAAACAGTAAAATAGAATTGATAGATCACTGAATATCGACCGACACCATATTTGTCTATGCCTTTATTGTTATTTAAATTCTATCAAAGGAATCGTAATGTAGCCAATAGTCTTATTGCCAACCTCAGTCCCTCCGTAATTCCAGGTACGTCTTGTTGACAAATGCTAACTAGCACGAAGCCTAGGTCTAACGGGGTTTCCTATCAACTACATCTAACCACATAACAAAATAGTAAAATATTCCTCAATAACGCTTCTGTTATTTTCAAAATTAAAGACAAATAGGATTGTGATCATGAGGAAAAGATATGTATTGTCGTTTCCGTTGCATATACTACACGGAAAATGATGATTTATCAATTTACAGGAACTTGTTGGAGAACAGTAAAAACCAGGACGAGCATTTCGCCCTATTTGGAATTTGTCAGTTGGGATCCGGTGTTGATGTGTTCCTTAACATCAATAACGGAGATATACAAGTCCTTACACAAAATCGAAACCTTTTCCACGATCTAGCGACTATCTAGAATTAGTAGCTCAGTGGTTAACCAGTTGGTGTTTGAAATGAAAGGGACCGGGTTGAAACCAAATGTACACATCAACACTGCGATATAGATACCTCCAAATGACAAATAAGGCGAAATGCGCATCTCGGATCCCATTGCTAGTTACATGTAAAAGAGAATATATGAAAGGGATTAGGCCCCTATTAAAAGGAGTTTCCATCACGATTTGATGGAAAACTAGGAAACCATTAAAAAATAGCTTGTTTTCAATGGGACTTATCTAGAATACCTTAAATTTTGTTGCAAAATACCAACTTCTAAAGTATATATTTTTCAAAAGCTTAAGTGGATTCGTGATCTACTGAACAGTTACTGCATTCTATTATGAAAATAATGAGTGGTATGCACTCATAATGAATCGAAACTAGAACTTTCAATGTTTCTCACATTGGCCTAATGTCATCGATGAATTATTGTTTGATTCTGAAAAATTGGTTGATTCCACAAGAACCGTGGATCATCCATCTCAAAGCTAATAAATAACGAGTATAAAATCATTATTTAGATAGATGGTTTGATGGTGACCGTTTAATTTAAAGATAACTTAAAACATACACAGACATCAAACTGTGCACTAATGAATTAAGTCCCAATTATTAAAAGATATTTGGCCTGCTTTAAAAACAGAAATCTTTGGGTTCAATATCATATGCTACGTAGTTGGAATGAACCTAATAGAAAGTTACAAACCAAAAAGAGAAAACCGTTCAGTGTTCAATATCCCTTCAAATTGATCACCCTAGTATAGAGTGACCATTTCATCTGGAAATCGGTCGATATACTAATTTATTGGGATAATTTCATTTTCACAAAAAGTCCAAGCATTTAACCAGATATTACCATCACTATTAAAAATGGAATTGAGTTTTTCACAAAAAAATTATATAGATTAACAAGAGAATACATCGACTAAGAAGAGAATAATTTTCTTAGAATAGATCTTGAGCATTATAACATATCAACGAATTGCCCACTACTAATACTACTACTTTCGGCAAAGCAAGAGCAGCATATTTACAACTGAAGAACATCTGAAACTCAAAACAATTGTCAACCAACAACAAAATCAGAATTTTCAATACAAATGTCAAGACAGTTCAACTGTATGGGACGGAGACGTGGAGAACTACGAAAACCATCATCCAGAAGATACATGTCTTTATCAACAGTTGTCTACGCAAGAAACTTCGGATCCGTTGGCCAGACACTATCAGCAACAAGCTACTGTGGGAGACAACAAACCAGATCCCAGTGGACGAAGAAATCAGGAAGAAGTGCTGGAAGTGTATAGGACACACATTGAGGAGAGCAAGGAGGCAACTGAGGCAGAAGGCAAGTCCTCACATGGAATCCTGAAGGCCAAAGGAGAAGAGGAAGACCACAGAACACATTACGCCGAGAAATGGAGACAAACATGAGACGAATGAACAAAAGTTGGATAGAATTAGAAAGGAAGACCCAGGACAGATTGGTTTGGAGAATGTTGGTCGGCGACCTATGCTCCATTGGGAGTAACGGGCGAAAGTAAGTAAGTAATACTACTACTTATTGATTGGAAGAAACAAAGTTATAAAAACAACGATAAATTACTAAGTACTAACTTCTTATTTTAATCACTATACACACATGTAATTACATTTTAATATAAATAAATAATATACAGAATATGCATATACAAAGAAAAGCAACATGAAAAGTGAATACATTGATATTAGCTCTCTCTCTATATATATATCAACGTATGCATCTATTCATCTAACTATTTCTGTGTCTAGATACAATTAAGTAGACATAATGAGAAGATCTAAATGACAAAACAAACACTAAATAGGGACTATCCCAAAGATGCTTCAATCACAAGCTTACAAATGTTTTTTTATATATCAAAGTCACATTTCAAAATGTGTATTATCAGTATGTATGTTTAAAAATAAAGCGAAAGTCCTTTTTATTGAGAGCATGAAAAAGGTACTTTCCTTAGTGGTGGTGGTGGTGGCAGTAGTGGTAATAAACATACCAGCCATTTGTCTTATTCATAAATACTTGGGGAAAAAACAGGAAGGAATAGTGAAGTAAACTTATTTTTTCACTAGAGAAAAAGAGAAGAGTCTACAGTTAAACAGAGCAAAACAAATAAACAAAAAAGGGAATTGCTATTACTAGGATAAGGCGGCTGCAGTTGAATCAATGTAATTGTTATTCAATTCTGAAGGATGACGATCAGTGAAGAAATAAGAATTGAGTTTTTTACCACAGAATTGTTTCTTCGTTGTAGGTGATGTTGATGATGGTGATATTAACTTTGATGCATTGAATAGATCTTGATTTGAGTCAAGTTTTATTTCACTATCAGTAGTATTGGTGTTATTATTATTAGTAGTATTACTATTACTATCATATATTATGGGACGAATACCAATAGGTAGGCCTACATGACATAATTGCAATGCAGCTTTATGAAGTTTTGTCATAAATTCTTCAATAGCTGGGGAAAAAACAATAGAATTGAACAATAATAATAGAAAATATAAAAGAATTTTATTTGCACAACTCAATTTACTTTGGAAATGTTTTATTCAATCAAAGGTTAAATAAAAATCGTTTTAAAAGAGATAAAAATACTGGTGTGGTCTACTTATATCCATATAAGTAACATATGGTGAGGGTCAGACATAGAATGTATTTTGGCAGAAGACCGATAAGGAAAGAACTGAAATGAAGCGCGATCGGTAGGAAGATGCATGAACAATGAAATCAGAGAAGAAGGACTGATATTTGCATAAGGAACAGTTAAGATTGAAAGTGTGAGTCAATTGAAGCTAGATCACCAGGGAAAACCTGGAAGCACTGAACGCCGTTGAGATAGGAACTCATTGAATACAATTGGTGAACGGTTGCTTAACTTCGTGGATTGGTTGGAGTTAGACATAAACACCATGGGATGCCGGCTCAGTAGTCTGCCGGTTAAGTGCTCTGGCGCGAGACCGGTAGGTCCTGGGTTCGAATCCCGCGGGGCGAGGTCGTGAATGCGCACTGCTGAGGAGTCCCACAATAGGACGAAACGACCGTCTAGTGCTTTCAGGTTTTCCATGGTGGTCTAGCTTTAATTGACTCACGCTTTCAATTATGAAAATACTAAATCTCCACAAAAAACCCCTTCAGTTAAGATTGAGACAATTGTCATTTCGCAAATTAACTGTTGACTGTATGGTTATCAGAATTTAGTGAGATAGTCTGTAATGTTGTGTTTAAATACATCTGATTGTCCTCACCCGTGTTTTGTTCACTACAATACTACCGAAAAATCTTACAGTATTTTATAGATTTTATAACAAATATTGCAGTTAATATTTAATATTTTTTTTCTTTAATTTGCACAAAACGTGGCATCAGTCCATAAAGTCACTAACTTTTGGTCTGAGCTATGTTGATAGATGCAAGCTAATTGGTTTGGTTTCGCAAGACTATTTTAACCGATGGTTGAAGACTCCGAGTGACATGCTTGAAAATCGATCACAATGATGTAGGTGTATACACTCTTTGCATTTTCTTAAACCGTGAGATTAAAATTACTTTATACCTTTCTTACTATAAACTAATTCTTTCTTCTTGTATTATATCCTTACACACAATCTTTCTTTTATATATTACTACCATTGAAGTAACTACTTCTATGAATTCGATATTCATCTTGTTGTGATGAGATATGGCAACTTGAACCAATACATATACGTGCCTGGTTCTACAATATATATGACTGAATGCATAGATTTCAAGAACCATTAACGTATCGTAGCTGATTAGGTATAATGGATAATTGAAATGATCAACAGGTTTAACTGTCTTACTTCTAATAATTAAATTAATTATTGGTGCAGACCATTTTCAATGTAATAATCTTCATTTGAAACATTTTCGCACTAGCGAAGTATTTAAAAAGTTCTGAATTTCTTCAACCTCTTCAGCTAACATAACTATGCTCCCTGTCTATTCTAAGACCCTGAGAGTGTCACTGCATAGGAGATCAATAACAGAAGATGTGAGACAATGCTAATATCACCTCTAAGAGTATATGTACGATAAAATCAAGTAAACATGTTAGAAGTGAGCAAATGACGTAGGCGATCCAAAATACACTTCCTCACCTACTCTAACCTAATCATAAATGTTCGGTAAGTTCGTATAAATTATTTGCATAACCTTGTAGAAAGACACACAGTCATAAGATTTAATGACCACCGGTTAATACCATTGAGTTAAGGAACAAGATTACAGTCAGACGTCGGTAAGTATTATAAGGATTTAAAGAAGAGTGAAACTTAGATCTATATATTAACAACTAGATCATGATATCTGTACGGCTAAGGGGCTTGTTACTAAAGCTAATACTTGAGAATTATATTAGTCAAACTGATTTCTCTGTATTTATCATAAACGGATCAGTGATTGTGATCAAACAAATAGAATAATGTATATCTCCTAGTCTCGTCTAACATATTAGTCAACCATTCTGATACTGTTCGACCATCATCCATATATCTATGTCTTTTAAGGTCTTCTAGTCCTATTGATACAAATAGCGTAAAAGCGACTGTCTATTGTAATCCAGATCAAAAATGCGTGTCCTGATTACAAACATTCTGCTACATCTACACTCTTGGAAGACAAAGGGTGACGAATAATATATACGTATAAAACAAACTGTCAGCTGATAATATGAATAGTCAAATAAAAGCATATACAAAATGAAATGGACAAATAAACTTACCTCTGACAGAAAATAATTTTATTGGCGATCCATTAATCGGAAGACAGGGATCATCATAATAAATTAAATAGTAATTCAGTCCATTCTATTTAAGTTAAAAAAAACACCGTAGTAAATTTCAACAGAAACAAAGCAAGTGATTTTTATTTTATTTATTTAAATACATATATATTGGTACAAAGGGACACCAGATACATATGCGCCACACAAAACAATGAGGATGGGAAGAGAAAGGGAGAAGATGCGTATATATAAAGAAAAAAAGAATGAAAAAGAGAAGAGTAATGATGGGGGGAACTGAAATAAACAACCGGAAGACCCTTTCGGTTAAGAAAGTTAGAACCACTCTTTATGAAGAAAGTAAAAGAAGGTTACAGAAGGATCGCCGCTGCCCCCAAATGCCCTGGTACGACCTCTCCAAATACTCTTATATGACCACGTGTATATAGCCTCTAACAGGGAAATCCTATTCACTGCCTTCTCTCACTGGGGGTGTTGTTCACGAAAGTGAGAGGACGAAAAGCGAATGTCCGGCGTTTTAACCGGGTTGGTGAACACAGCGAGTCCATCTAGGGGAGTTGAAAAACCCTGATTCAAAACCAATGGTGCACATTTGATCCAGTATCCGGAGGGAACAAATGGCGTATGAACCAATTGTTGGTCACCGGCTACCATGGGATTGCATCTCCTCACGATGCTCCACTGCCTTGTGGATCAGACCTTTAGATCAAAAGCTCGGGGTGTGGCCCCCTAAGAAAACCACCTGCTTCGGTTTGGGCACCCGGGTAGTATCACAGCCCACGCATAAATAAATGAAATGACGGTTTCTACTGACAAAGCAAGTGAAGTAACTTACAAGAAAGATATTAAAGAAATATATTCACTTAATAGTTACTTTACGCAACAATCGTATAATATTAACCTTAGTTTATCATAGTCATTTAGTTACATGATTGAAGCACTCTTTGTTTTGACTATCAGTTTAATTTGAATAAAAATACTTAAAATCAACCGTTAGGCTTAATGGTCAAATGCACTCCATTTTTAACCGCTAGGTTCAAAGCTCATAAACTACCCCCGCATACTTCGGTTCCGAAAGCCTTCACATAAACTAAAGTGTGAGTGAAAACTAAATATATAAACCTTTACTCGGTAGGTGGAGTTAACCAAAGATAAGTATAATTTAGATATTGAGCTATACATATATAATACAAATAACTAAATGGTACTTACTTGGTTGAATTCTCCATGTGACTCAATTAACATTTCAGAATGATATTCATGAACTTGAACAGGGCCCCGTTTCTTTATGTTTTCCCACGAAGACTTTACAGAAGAAATATCAGAAGATTGGGTACATTTTTCTTTGAAATCTGCTGAGCATCGAGAAATTAGATAGGCATAGCGTCTAGTAGAAATGTTCTTAGTTGTATTGTCTTGAGATAAAGGAATCGATTCTGAAGAATTATCTTTATGAGATGCAAGTGATTTCTCCGTATTCAAGGAAAATTCAGTAGGTTGAATCCACCAACGTCGTACGTAAACATATTCTCGATCGACCATAGGAAATGGAAAACGTACAACCCAACGAATAATATCTAAATCTTTAATATGTGTATCGTTATTCGGTGTAATACAATGCAATTCTACAATCTTATCATCCCATTTTCGTCGATAGTCTAGATTGAGTTGTACTTCTAAAAATGATGAAGCTGATATATCACGAAATTGTCCGCAAACTATTAAACAAGCATAAAATAGAACGAAGACTAAGGATGAATTTTTAGCATGTAAAGCTGTGTGTAGGCAAATGTAGAATCCACACTTAAAATGTACAGTGTTCTCGAGTATACACATACATACAAACACAAGACAGAATATAGTACAGATTGATATTAAATTTTCAAGATAAACCCACCAAAAAATAGTTTTAATTCTAAGCATAAATTATTGGATTATGAAAGAATGAACTTACGAAACAGTCATTAGTATATTGCCGAGGCAGAATAATAGACAGACATCCCATACATAACTCCGCCTGGAGCCTGTTGTTCCCAAACCCGGAAAAACGAGGAGGGTTAAGTAAAAGGTCAACAACCTCATGCCATAGGAAGTAACTTTGCTAAAAAGAACGCTAACCAGAATAAACATTTTAAACTATTTAAACTCTGTCCTGGTAGTTGAAGGGTCTTCATTATGAAGAATTATGATACCTTATGATAAAAGCCGAAATTTTTAGGAATTCATGGGACCGACGCCCCTTCTAACAACCACAGCAACAACTGATATACGCACATGGAATATCCGGATAATGTGGGAGACCAGGAGGAGGGAGAGATGCTGCTGTACTCTGGTGACGAACAAGAAGATGCTTCACACACTCAGGGAGTTGCCCTGATGCTGTCCAAGGAAGGATGTAAAGCACTTATAGGATGGAAATCTCATGGGTCCAGAATCATCAAAGCATACTTCAAAAAAGGAGGGAATTACGATGATTGTAGTCCAACGTTATGCATCCACCAATGAGTTGAAAAAAATAAGATAAGAAACAAGGCTGCTCATTATAATAATAACTTACAGACTGAAAATGTAAAACTCTCAACCATAGATAATTTACGCTAGTTTATGGTGAAAGTGTGTCATTTAGACACTTTTATTGAGATTCATAGATTGTGATCTATTTTGCGTTATGGCACCTTAATAGTATGATCATCTATACTATGTATCTGAATGATGAAATAGTACATATTTTACCCCTTACTCCACTTTTTTCTTGTTGTTCTGGGTGAATACTTTGAAAATCAAGTGTATGTAACTTATAGATCGTTGGTACAATTGGGTATTAAAATAAACATGAACTACAAAAAATATTAAGTGAGAATCTGAAGAAATAGGGGAAGGAAGGGGAGTCTAATCAAAAACAAATAAACTAAACAGAACAAATGAACGAGACTAGCATGAAGTAGCGGTTTATTTTATCTAAACATAAATTTAAGATACAAATGAGTGCCAGGATAAATATGCATTACATAAATGAGACAATGAAATGGTAAACAGATTAGATAGAGGTGTTGTGACTTTAAGCCGGTTAAATATAACGTAACTTATTCGCCAATTACAGTACGACTTATACAATCTTAGCACTGTGCCAAACCAATAACGTTCGACCGGTATGAGCAGCCTAGCGTTCTTATTGGTCCTTTGTCCTCCTAGCCCTGTCAGAACACCAATACAAGCTCCCACTATACAGATCATTTATTTAAAACATACCTGGTTTATAAATCAGCCAAATAGATCACATCACACCATAAAATAGGAAATAACATCTATACAAGATCAAGCCGAAAAGTGGCTGTAATTGTGGGAGACGGTAATTAATAAACTGAACATAACTTGAGAACAGTAAATCGTATAATGATAGCACATAGGTCAAAACAAAGTTTGTAATAAGAGGAGTATAGATATACATAAGCTAGTTACAATAAGAATATACGTATAATATTGGTCCATAAATAGTTTTCAGAAGTTACCTATAATTGGCATGTAGTCGGTGAAACCGATATGTAACACTAAAAAACCCACCAACTTTGTATTTTATATAATGAATGCCCGGTTTCAGACAAATACAAATTTTCTGCACAGTGAGCAATTAACTGTACTAGACAAAACCATTACGACACAAAATGAAAATCATTAATGTTCAAGTTACACTTAGATATTTATGAACATAGTAAAAATCTTCGATTTCATCGAATGAATCATCTGTATTAACTAAATAATTATGAACTTCTTCTGGCTATCTTTTCTGATCTGTGCTTGTAAAATGTGGTTAAATATATTGAGATAATCTCTACACAACTTTCGAACTGAGTTTCATGCTTTCTGGTATTGCAATTAGTCATAATTAACATAGAGTCTGGCATAAATGCACAGTAACTCAATTCCACATACTAAATGAACGTGGTAAGATGGAATTAACAAGCGAAATAGTAAAAGGGTAGAAACAGTAGTAGTATCAATCAAGATAAGAAAGATGAAACAGTCTCATTAATTGATCTATTTTTGTCTAGTATCCTGTGCCCAATCTCACAATGGGTCAGTCCACTGTTTCACGATACGCGAGTAATGCTCCGAAGACACGTGTGATAAAAAGCGTGTAGCCTATATATGTCTTATATCTTCGTAGGTTATGTTTCACAGACATTCAGTAATGCAAAGTGAACTCCTGAGCAGTATACTCGCTTATTTATTGGGGAAATAGACATCTCGCCAACACTAAGTGACGTAGGTTTGCGAAAAATAATCGAGATTCCCAAATCAATACCGAGATTTCACCACACATCAACCTACCAAGGTTGATGAGGCCTTATTTATTTATTTATTTAATCACACATACTGGTACAAAGGGCACCGGATACATATGCGCCACACAAAATAATGAGAATGGGAGGAGAAGGAAGAAGATGCGTATATATAAAAGAAGGAAAAAAAGAAAAGGGGAAGAGTAATGATGGGGGAACTGGAATGTACAACCAGAAGAGCTCTCTCAGTTAGGAAAGTTAGAACCACTCTTTATGCAGAAAGTAAAAGAAGGTTGCAGCAGGATCGCCACTGGCTTCTATTCTGAACCATATCTGATAACGTCTCTAGCCACTGTGCTGCACCATCTCTCGGACCCCAGCCAGGGAGTCGTGAAGGACCAACAGAAGCTAGCCCTTTGCAGCTTTCTTTCATACCACGACACCATGTCATACACTGACCTCTCCGCTTTTCCCAACCAGTCCCAGAGTCAGCAAATAATGTACGACGTGGAATTCTCTGGGACGACATTCGTAAAACATGTCCAAGCCACCGAAGTCAGTGTTTCAAGATGGTGACACCAATTGGATTATCGTCTCTGCACCCGAACACACGATGCCGAACCTCTGCACTACTAACATGGTGTTGCCACTGGATGTCAGCAATCCTTCGCAGACAACGATGATCGAACACAGAGAGACGTATAACATCCTCAACTCGGAGAGGCCAGGTTTCACAAGCATAGAGCAAAACTGCTCTCACCGACGCGTTGTAGATCCGACCTTTTACAGCCAGACTAACATCACGAAGGCGCCAAAGATGGCCCAGATTGGCATAAGCCGCTCTGGCTTTCATTATACGTGCATCAATCTCATCACTCACGCCACCACCAGCACTTATATAGCTACCTAGATACACGAACTTCTCAACTACTTCAATCTGCTCACCATCCAGGGTGAGTACAGGATGAGAATCCTGCCAGTCTTGTAGGAGTACCTTGCACTTGGAGGGTGCAAAGCACATACCGTACCTGCGGATATTGATTGCCAACTGATTAAGTGCGGATTGCATGGCTTGAGCACTATCGCACAGTAAGACAATATCATCCGCATTCGCGAGGTCGAGAAGTCGTTCCCCAGGCAACATATCCACACCGCCATTACTTACATCCATCAGAGCTGTTTCCAGGATGTCGTCGATGGCAAAGTTGAAGAGGAATGGTGAGATTGGGCAACCCTGTCTAACCCCACTGCTCGAATGGAACAAGGGAGAAAGGTGGTTGTATGCCCTCACTCTGCCTGAGGTGTTCGTATACAGGGCCTTTAAGATGTTAATGAACTTCTCAGGCACACCCTTCTTCAATAGACAATCCCAGAGAACAGTCCTGTCCAACGAATCCAAGGCCGCCCTGATATCAAGAAACACTACGATTGTTGGCCTGCGATAAGTATGACGGTGTTCTAACACTTGGCGGAGGGTGAAGATGTGATCAATGCATCCTCGACCAGAACGAAAACCAGCCTGCTCCTCGCGAGTCAATCGTTCTCGGGCTTTAAAAAACCTACGAAGAATGACAGAAGCCGATAGTTTGGACGCAATCGGAAGAAGACTTATCCCCCGATAGTTATCACAGGAACAACGTGAACCCTTTTTAAAGATAGGGACGACTATCGACTCATTCCATGGTGTTGGAACACTTTCTTGTTCCCAAACCTTTCCAAACAACACAGTCAATTCCTTAGTCAAAAGGTCACCACCATCTTTAAAAAGAGCCGGAGGTAAGTCATCTGGGCCCGGTGATTTGTAACGTTTCAAGAGTTGGAGTTCCTTGCGGACTTCCGCCTCGTTTGGTGGATCAGTCGTCACCGGTCATGGGGGGCAGGACAAACTGGTTGATGTTGCCGGAGCAGCAGGCCAGTTGAACTGCCCTTCGAAAAATTCCGCCCACCGTCCAAGACGTCGAGAGATGTTAGTGATTGGCATCTCGTCATCCTCGTAGATAGTTTCACTCACACCAAACTTCTTTCTGCCAGTGTCTCGGATGAGTTGGAAGAGCTTCCGGCAGTTACCAGATGCAGCTGCTGCTTCCATCTCATTAGCACGCTCCGACCACCAGGCTTCTCGGTCCTTACTTACCACTGTCCTTGCCACTGAATGTCAGCAATCCTTCAGAGACAACGATGATCGAACACGGAGAGACGTCTAACAATTAGGCCTTTGAAATAAATGAAGTGGAGAAGGAACTCAACTAATTTATTCCCTGTGACTAGTCCATGAATTGATAACAACTAGTTACTGAGTGAACGTTTCTCATTTAGATGGAGAGAAACGCGTCATGAATATACGTGTATTGTTACTTAAGGCGTTCAGTAAATTCTGAATCTTGTTGACGTTTTTTACTAAACAAACCATACTATCTACGTATTCAAAATCCATAGATGAGTTTCCTGATAGACATATAATCGAGGTTAAACTAAAGTAGTATTATCGATAAAAGAATTTCCATGACAAAGTTAAAGAAAAGTGAAGAAAGTGAGCAACCGTGACGAACACCATTTTAGTAGGCCAACTTTGATGACAGTTAGTCGTAAGCCCAACCATGACCATCGGTGTTCAAGTGAAGACTAATTAGGTTTACGTATCTTTCGCGATACCTTCCGATATTTAAATAACGAATACTGTTAGCCCCTGTAAGCAAAGATTAATTAAAAACTTGCCAGTAAAATACCGATTTAAAACAAGTAGAATACATTCTAAATCACTCACCTCGGTACTCGTACTTGGCATTTGATTTTGGGGGATTACGTTCACCATTGACTTGAGGTACCGTCAGTGGTCTACGCCAAACGTGCATACTTGTTCGATCATAAACAAGTTCCCACGACTCATCAACAAAACCCGTACCATCTGGCTGAATATTTAAATCCATAAACAACGACGAAAGGGACGCACTAAAGTGATCTTCATTTGAAATTTCATCTACATGAGGATCTGGATCACAAGCAGATATACAAGAATCATCAACAATAACTGGCTCCGTAGTAGGATGTGAAAACATTGATATCCGATTTAAATATGTTTTACGTAACTCTCGTATCATTAAAGTCAGTGGTGGATCCCATGATTCACAGTGCTCGTTTCTTGTACGATCTTTAACTGGTGAACAGGTATCTTCTTCAATAGTATTATTTTCCACAACAACAAATGAACTACTTTTGTTGGAATTATTTGAATCACCATTTACTGAAAAACTTTTTAAAGTGCTAAAGATAAAACAGGAGTGAGGATAGTCACTAGCTTTACTTACGTTAAAACCTCTTCATCAGTAATTTTATCTTGAGCGAATGAAATTAAAGACCCTCCAAGTAAAACTTTTTGAGTTATAAACAACCGAGAATCTGTGTTTATATTTGAGTGTAGGCTAAAATATTTTTCACGTAACCGACGGAAGATTAATGTTCCTGAGTGACGACACAAAAACAGATTAGCTAGTAATGTCCGATGAGTGGATGACAGGAATCTCAAGAATGTGGAATCAGGTTGACAGCATGCTTTTTCTATCTGAGACGAAAAGTTTAGGGCGAGAGAATGGAGTTGAACGGAAATAGGAGATTGTAAAACATGTTTCTGCAATTCAAAAGTAGAAAAGTATTATATAAAAAATTAAATACTGAACAATAGGCTTTTATAATGAAGAAAACTGAATAATTTCTAAATTATACATAGAAATGGAGGATAGATGGATTAGCGATTTAAGTACTTAGCATTCTATTCTTAATGAAGAAGCCACACAGATACGACCCGGTACCGTTGCCCTTCGAGAGATCCGTCGTTACCAGAAGAGCACCGAACTTCTGATTCGTAAACTTCCATTCCAGCGTTTGGTCCGAGAAATCGCTGAAGACTTCAAGACCGATCTACGATTCCAGAGCTCAGCCGTATCTACTCTTCAGGAAGCTAGCGAAGCCTACTTAGTTGGACTGTTCGAAGACACCAACTTATGCGCAACCCATGCTAAACGCGTTACCACCATGCCGAAGGATGTCCAACTGGCTCGACGTATCCGCGGTGAACGAGCCTAAATATTGTATAAAGAGAGGGAACCCTGTAGTAAAGTGCTTCCCTCACACTTTGTGCCTTTTCTCTGGTCTTCAAGTCGCGGAGTAGTTCTAGCTTTGGAGGGTACGGAACTAGCTTAGGGAAGCGAATATAGCGTTCATAATCGGCCAGACGTAACACTTAAGTAACAAGATGAACACTGTCTCACCTACTTTAATTTCAGCAGCCGAACATTTTATGACACCAGACAGAACATTTGGCATAAACAAAAGTTAACAGACATGTACTTAGTAAATCAGCTACATCATTACAAAGAGAAACTAAAATAATCAAGACTTGATCAGTGTCCAGAAAGACCTAAAATGAAAATAGCAATTAACCTTGAAACAACAGTTATTCGACAGGATAGGTCTTATGCAACTGATTTCTCCGTGTCTTTTCTCGTAGATAAGTCATAAGTGAAAAAAGACTACGAATTATGAAGAGACATCTTTTGATAAAGTTACTGTTGGAGATGCGAAATCTTTGAATACGATTTATGAAGAGATGAATTTACGGTCAACTCCCAACCAATTTTCGTTACATTGTTTTATGGAATTGCGATGCACTTTCACTATGATCTGTGTTTACTTAAAATTAGTCAGTTCACAAATTATAATCACTGTGATCTATATATAAGCGATAAATTTAAACGTATCTTTAATTTTACTTAAGTCGTTTTCAAAGCTGTGACGAAACTGGACTTCTTACTTTAGTCAGTGAAGCGGAGAAAAGGAAAAAAGTAGTCTTGTCTACTCTATTGAAGTTGAAGTTTTGAAATAGTAGTTTAGCGCATAAACATATCGCCATTCAATTCAAAATAAGACAAATTTAAGTCACCTGGCAGAAGCTCCACAAGAACAAAAACGCATCTCGAAAGCCATGTAAACATCCACAAATCCATCTTTGAGTTTTGCTTATTAGAAAAAGAACCATATTATATAGAACGGTTATGAATTTCATTCACTGGTCAAAAAAGGTAACTTCGATCTCTGATCCATAAGCAAACTGGTGAATATGATCAAACTTAGTAACTAATAGCAAGTTTGCTTACTCGGTACTCAGCTACATATGTCAGTTCGTCAAAGACACCGTAAGACCTGGAATACATATGCATTAGTTCAAGTTCTCATACCACACCTCAACATAACAATAAAGATAATTTAAGAAAGAACCAGAAGTCAGAATGAAAGAAAATAATAATATCAGATGGCGTATCAGAAAACAAACATCCAAGATTACTTTATAAGGAGTGGGTTAAATCGAAGAGGATTGAAGAAATGTAATCAGAAACAAATAAATGAATAGTGTTAAGGGAATAGGAATAGATCGTAGTAAGAGAAGCAAAACGGTTTTAAAAAGTGAAATCACGATGAACTATTTCAACTAAATATGTCACTCTTACCATTATTAAAGAGATAAAATGAAAACCATAACAGAACCGTCACTGGCATTTTATTTTGAGTCATGTCGGATAACATCTATAGCCACTGAGTTGCACCACCTCTAGGACACCAACCAGAGAGTCGTGAAGGACCAACAGAAACCGGTCCTGCACAGCTTTCATTCATACCACGAGATCACATAATACATTGACCACCTCACAGCTTTCTCCAGTCAGTCCCAGCGTCGGCTTGTACCCACGATGTGGAAGCCGCTAGCCTGATACCTTACGTTTGAGATAACGGGTCGCAGCGGGTTACATCCCCGACTGTTGTCATCTCTCAAAGACATTATTACAAGTCCACTCACAATGCTCTTCGACACGTCCTGTCCCTACACTCAACTTCTTAAGGATTGGAAAGATGCTGTTGTTAGCCCTACATTTGAAGACGGTCAGAGATATCGTATCTAACTACAGAGCTGTTAATCTAACCAGCATATTAGGTAAGTTACTTGAAAAGATAATTCAAGCTGAATCAGTAAGTCACCTAGAATTATACAGCCTGCTAACTCCTGAGCAACATAGGTTCCGGAATACGTATTCATGTTTAACCAACTTACTAAGTACCATGAGCTTTCACATATGTAAAAAAGTGCCCTACGTTCCTACCATAACTTTGATTGATGAAAGCGCGTGTTAGTGCACATAAATGGCATCATTGTGAAAATACTTTTAGAGTAACTATTCTATCAACTTCGCACACAATTAAAACACCCAACAATTGCACAAAACCGTCTTACAAGGACACCCATGTGTTCTCCCCACAGATTCACAGGGCGCGCCTACTCGTTTAATTCATATTACCCACTTAGAAACAAATAGTGCATCTACGTAGTTTATAATAACTTTATTTTATTTTCCTATACAAACCCTTCACTTTCAAAACTCCCGTCAAAATGTGAAAACGTACTGATGACCAACATTTTCGATCAGTGGGGTTTCGGGCATTTTTTATTCACATCTCAATACAAAAATCACTGTCGACAGGATGCTGAAAGCCTACAATAGTCGAAATAAAAAACGAAAATTATTTGTTAAGGGTTATTTCCAATGATTCATAACTTTTGATACCATTAGTTTTACATGAAGTTCGTTCTTTCACCTTTCAGTCTCTTCCCACTCAACCCCAGTACACAACGTACCTTCAAGCTAGATCTAAACCAATGATAGTCTAAAAGTTACTCATGTATTATCTTCTATAATCCTTATGTATTGACGCAGTCTATGCTAATTATCATAGAGTGCATGGTAGATACTCGATGGTTGGGTTACAATGAGAATAAATAGTGACTGATGAACATACCAAGTAACAAAAATAACCAAGTTCATTCAGTATCGTTGAAATTGCCGTGACTGGAGTGATCCATTTCATCCCATCTTGTGTGTAGGGAAAACTAAATTATCTGTTGTTACTTTGAGAAGCGATTGCGTTTTAGGAGGTATAACATATAAAAAAGCTTTTCTCAAGTAACCAGTCGTAATATCTGCCTCATTTTAGTTTTCATACAACATGATGGACATACTTATACTGCTTATTATCTCGCGTATCATCCGTCACTTCATAATCTCACAACTTAGATAGGATAAATATTATGTGCCATATCAAGTTTCGTGATGTGTTTGCAACTCGCTAAATGTATCGATACTTTTACTCCACAAGATCAAATGAAGATAGTGAGCCCTGAACTAGATTGCATTATTCCAGAATCCTTTGCTATTTCATGGTAACGGATTATTAAGCAAACACTTCTAAAAGACGAGCATTCAATTGCCATAGTTACTGTGATCCTTTTTATGGCACAACATTATGGCCAAATGTATAGCAACTATATCGTTTGTTCCAAAGAGATGAAGACAATAATGAGTCGTTCAGTAATGTAACAGCATCCTATTACTGTGATATGCAGACTCTCGCAAGTCCGCCAGAAAACAGCCAATCAAGGGTCTCATGTACATTTACGAACATCTGAGTTTTCTCTTTCTTCATAATTAAAGTCACAGAGAACTTGAAAATCCAGTTTGATTCCTGTGCGAGTACATATGGAAATTCCTTCATATATTTTCTTCCATGAACATTCTCTTGATCTCCCCTATATGTATCATTTATTCAATTTTTGTCTGCTCTGTAGTGTGTATTGCCTCTTTTGGTTTGTTAGAGATTATTGTCACCACCCGGCTTACAATTTCTGGGTTGAAGTCAACTCTTTAATGTTGCTGTTACAATAATAGGCCTAACACCAAAATGGAAGATTTTTCATGATCTATAAGATCTTATGTCAAAGTCACATCATGGTCTACACCGACACGTTCTACGTGACAATCAGCAACATGACGTCTAACACTTCTGAAGAACACATTTGGGCTGGGTTGTGAGTTATATGGTCGATACAAAAACAAACTTGAGCATCAAGTGTCCACGCCTACATGACCGAGCCATACCATTTCGATTCTTTGTTGCCGCGTTCCGCCATTGTTTATTTTGTCTTGGTGTTACATATTGAACGTAAATCTTCTCAGTTATTATACTCTCGCCTTCAAATATCCTGTGGTTAGGAACCAATACTACTACACTACTCTCCCACCAGAATCAACGTGACGTTGGTTCGATACCAAATCGGGTGGGGTTATCACACGCCAGAGGTTATCAGAAGAATAATAAAGATCATCCGCGTATTGACAAACTGAAAGATGAAAAAATAAGGCGACAGCAACTAGCCGGGAAATACTTCTTATAGTTTCAAAACTATTTGGTTTAATTTTCCACACATTTAAAATGAAAATGCATGTGAATATTATTTAACCATTGATATGAATGGGATTATCATGAGAAAGATTGATTTAGTATAAAGATATTTTAACATGTCACATCAACATGCATATTAATGACCGTTTGTAAAGAGCTGGACTTATGGGGAGTACAAGGATTTTGTGTTGATAAGTCGAAAGACAATCTATATTGCATCAATGTTGATATTAGTATAAACTTTTGTTTAAATCAGAAAGGTAGTTAACGTTTGTGTCGGTATGCTGTCCATATAAGTTGACTTCCAATTGCATTTCACGGGGAGGAAAAATTCCATCTAGTGTCTCAGTCAGTTTGTTAATTTGGATACGGCGATTAAATCTGGTGAGGAATATTGTGGGGGTGATGATATGTCACTGAGACCAAGCCAAATCATCTGGCAATTGAATCAGGGAATGACGAACAGTATACTGATCCTCGTCAGGGTTGAGGACAACCAACATGAATCTTTTAACTGCACATCACTAACTGGCCCATGCAATGGTGGTCACACTCTCTTCTCGCACCTACTCCTACTAACGTATTTCTGTAACAACGTCGTTTGTTCTGTACGGTCATCAAGATAACCATAATACTTGTATATATCGAATGGATAGTCAGTGTTAGGTAACAAGCGTAAGGTATGGCTTCGACTCCAGGTACACCCTAGTTATACTACACAGAACATCAACGTTGGTGATTTACACTAGTATAACCGAGGAGAGGAAGAACTCTAACTAATTGTACGGTCAATTGTTAAGTTTAATGCTGTTTGTTCATTTACGGGAGACTCCCTCTACCTCGTTATTGCTAAAACTTAGTAGAAATTAACAAAACTACTAATGTATATGAATAGTTGTCAAAAGTTCATTAATTACCCAAATCACCAAAATCAATATTTCTTTAACTCTTCGATATTTGATGTTGGCCGCATTAGTTTTAATGGACTCACCTAGCTGAAGGCGCTAGGTCCCGCATCCTCACCAGATCATGAGTAGGTACACCGTGCTTCACATCTTCTACAGCGGCTAGCCAGCTTAGATTAGTTACTTCACGATATGTCGGTAATCTATCAAATATATCCCCTAAACTCTTCGCTTCGGACTTCTGATTTGACTGGGCTGGCACGTTCCGACTATAATAGGTGTTACTGGTTAAGGTAATGCCGAATTGCGAATACCTGTGACATCATTATACTGACAATATGTGGATTTCAGAGAGATAGCTAACAGTAACCTGTCAAATATGAGTAGGTCCGTGGGAGACATGCTCTGGACTCCAATGTTCAAATATGCGATAGAGTAATTACTTATATTCATACATGTTGCTTGCTGGCGTATACAAGCCAGTTGCAAGTGTCAATTCTTGGATAATATAGAGATCAGTTTATATGAGCTTAGGCGATTATAAGATGTTGAAACCAACTAAGCGTATGCTTCACAAATATGTGTGATATGGTGATGTACGATGCTTTCGGCCAAATGAAACTTTACAAGATAATAAACGGCCAGTGGTGCTTGTTACGTCCAATTATGAGTTTTTGCCCGTTCCAACTATTGAAGTACTGGCCGTCGATATTCGCAAATCACGAACCCAAGGAGGCAAGAGAACCAAAACTCCAAATTAGATACCAAGTTTATTCGCAATTCACAAATAATTGACCAAAGTCGTTCTAACAACAATAATTATAACAATTACAAAACAAACCTTCAATTTTGTAGGTTTCCGGAGCAAAAACGCCCAAATACCAAACCAATGACAAAAGAAACCAAAATATCCGAAAAGAATGATATAAACAAACAAGTCCAATGGTTAAGTAAAACAAACACATCCAAAAACACAGTAAAATTGATGTACAGTAAAAAGGTTTTAATCAGCCAAATGTCTTTAGTTCTCCCGTAACAGTGCTCTTGTAATTATTGGGAAGAGCATAGGTTGTAACCAAGGGGAGTACAATTATTAAATAATGTCTATGATAAAGGCATGAACCTTAGTCAGTGTAGGGGTAAATTCGACTGTGATGTTTTCAGTTGGCAGGAGATTTGCTAGCTTGCTTATACTGATGAATTGCATGCACGACTATGTCGCTAGACTTCCAATTAGACTGACAAGGTTCCAAGACGTTTACCAAATGAGCAAGCGATAGAGAAACATACTGAAACCATCGATATTAAACAAAGACAATCAAGAGAAAGCAACACTATTCAGTGATGAGCATGTCAATTTACTGACCGAGTTTGCTGTAATGGTTTCATTAATTTTTTCAATAGTATTGCGCGATTGTCAATCATGACAGCATTTCATGGCGATGTCCAGAAACCATAATGAATAACTAGTTATAGGGTCGATTTGGAATTAGCTGGTGGGAAGTGGGTACTGTTGCCTGGAGTGATTTGGAAATATAATCAGTTTTTATAGGTATCTGATCCAAGCCACCTGATTATCTTCCAAATTACGATCCAGAAATATTAGTTCATTCAGTGTTACTTTTTATGGTAAGCTCCTGAGTTTCTATTTTGAATACTCCCTTTACTAGCAAATATGTGATAGTTGCGTTGCATCAGTGCAGTACGATAATATCTTGATGCGGCGACTTTATTATCTCAACTATGTTATACGTATTTTTATGCAACTGATGTTATAGCCCAATTCATAAATCCAAATAAATATAGCAATAACGACTACAAAGCTCGGTTAAAAAATTTAAAAATTGAGATGACCTTTGAAACTGCATTTAGGAACATGATATGTACAATACAGACCTTCCGTAAGGAGTTTCTATAGTCAGTTAAGTAACATTCATAGCTATGTAGCAATGATGACCAGTACTAGGAAGTGTCAAACTACTGTTCAATCTAATATGTTTTTCAAGAAAACGACACACTCTCATAGTAGCATGTAATTTGAAGCTACTTAATATATCTTATGTAAAGAACAGTTTTAGAAGTAGCTGATATGAAATATACACGGTTAGTCTAAGTGAAAAAATACGTGCTAAGAAGCACCAGAA